TTGACAAATGTAAAATGTGATACGATACAGTGTCTCAAAATTCTGGTGTTCAACACTTTGAAAAAATTCTGCTAACCTAGAAAAAATTATTTTCCATTTGATAAGATTTAACCAAAAAATGTTTCTAATTTTCTCCCTTATTATCTTAAGAATGTAATCAATTTATAGTGTTTAATTGATAAAAAAAAATTCTTATTATGTTCATCCTAGTTTTAATTTTCTTAATTTTTGATATTTTATAATTTTGTTTTATTATAAAAAATTTAAGGGTCTTATTTTAATAAAGTAACACAAAATTCATATATTTTTTGAGACATATATGTATGCGATGCACGATCTCAAAATTTTAGAAAATAACAATAATTTTTAATTATCGAAGTCTCAGTTTGTGCTTGACATTAGTTTGCATTGGACATTGATTTTTTTTTTTATTAATGGACATTGATTATTGAATAAGAATTTTGACGTAGTTTAAAGATAACAACTTTATAAAAGCATGGCCTAGACATCATGTTAATGAATAATCCAATGCTCAGTTGAAAGAAAAAAAAAGTTAAATTGGACTGACCGAATCAGAAATCAAACTGTTCGGTTCAATTGTATAAATTGGAGAGAAAAATTATTATATATAGGCGACGAGGAAAATTACATGAATAATCCCTCGCCGAAAGAACTTTTAAGGTTTGGGATTGGATTTCCATATCAATTTCTAACTTTTTTTTTTTGGTAAAAAGACTTCTTCGATCTCTCTAAATTAGTCCCTCTATACAGGAGGAATCTAGTCCATACCAATTTTAAAAGTGATCAGCAATTAAAGATAATTAATGAAAATTTAATTTCTAATTAATCTCTCATGTTGAATCCACATTGCACATTATTCGTGATTGCCCAGATTCGACAAGGTTTTGGGAGTCCATTCTTCACAATCAGCAGCGTAGCAGGTTCTTTGAGCTACATCCGGACAAGTGGATCACGACAAACCTTGATTCCAGCTTTGTTTGTTATCGTTTGGATACTCCCTGGAACCTCCTGGGCGAAAGACTATTACAACAGTCCAAAGCATATGTCATCTCTAAAGGAGACTAAGTTTGAATGTGTCCAATGGAAGCCCCCTCTAGAAGGATGTATTCATCTCAACGCGAATATGACAGGATAAATTCCGAAATAAATTTATCTACTATCTCAATTTTCTCACAATTTCTGAATCACCTCGGATTAAGAAAGATGGAAGAATGAGATAAAATTTTGTCTAAAGATTGTTATGCAAAATAACAATCTGAGACGAAATCTGAATTGAAAAATAAAATAAAGTAAGTTATACTTCTTAAAAGACAAGAAAAATATAGAAATAAAATACACATTCTTATTTGATTGATCTATCGATCAGAAACAATTTATGCATGTCACTACACAGTTTCCTGAAGACATATTTTTGGCCAATCGATCAGAAACAATTTATGCCTGTTACTACACAGTTTCCTGAAGACATATTTTCGGCCACTCATTTGGTGCTCGAGATCGTTAATCGTCTGTCTCCTAGGATATAACAACTAGATGCTCAACCACAATAGCACATCTGAGAACTAGTGGAAGAGAAAAAGATTTTTCTTTCAAGTTCTTGAATTTTGAGATATCATAAATATGTTCTAAAGTGTTGAATATGTGTTTAACCTAGTAGGTTAACACAATATTAATTATAAGAGATTTTCAAGAGAGGTTTACTCCAAATATCTTTGAATATTTAAATTTAAATAGATAATAATATCTTTTAATTTGAGATATTTAAAATATATACACTTTTTACTATTCAAACTTAAATAAATATTATTTTAATTTGAAATATTCAAAATGACATAATTATCTTTATCATTCAAAGTTAAATAGATAATAAATACCTTTTAATTTGACATATTAAAAGAACAATTATCTTCTCAAATTCAAATTAAAGAATATATTTTAATTTATAATATTAAAAAAGAATATGAATTTAATTTAAATATTAAATCTATCAATAAAATTTACTTTTTTTTAACAAACAGTGTTGTTTTTATGAATGCTAACCTTGGTGCAGCTGGTGGTATCTTCCGAGATCATCTCGGAAACTTCATTTTAGGCTTCATTAAAAGACTCAGATTCAAAACGATGCTTCAAGCCGAACTATGGGGGATTCTCAAAGGTCTCAAACTTGCTTGGTCTCATGGTTTTCAGAGAGTTTTGCCCCAAACTGATAATGGCGACGCTTTTAAGCTCTTAACATCGGATTCTGCTAACAATCCTTTCAAACTTATCTGAGCCATCACAGATTTAATCAACAACACTTGGTGTGTGAATATCGCACTCATACGTTGTGAAGCAAATGAAGCAACAGACAAAATCACAAAAGCCAACTCTGTTGGTCACTTATCGATCTAAAATTTTGCTCCCGTATAAGTACTAGATGTTCTCTATAGATATATTTATGACCCTTCCCATAACCGTTTAGTTACATCTTAATGTAATGGCTTATGCCTCATAATCATTAAAAAACCACTCATCAAACACAGAAATTGCGCCCAAAAAGAAAAATTCTTGAGTAACGTTTGTGCATATGTGTGAAATAAAATCTGAATATATTTTAGTCAATGGGATAAGTTGTTCATATTGTCACAACCTGCATATTTAAGTTTGAGACATGTGCGTGAATATCCGTCAAAGAGGTTGTGTGCGGAGTATCGAGCTTGCGAAGACCATTAAATTTGACCCATCGTTGGGAGAATGCTAGAGAGTCCATTCACATGAGGAACCTTTCCATATCATGGAGATCTTCAATCTAGAGAAAAAATTGGACTAATTGTTGTAATTGGATAATAATTGATATTGATTCCTACGATTAGGAGATTTGAGCCTATTTAGCAGTAGATGTAAATCGATCTAGGTCATTAATTGTGTCGAAACTCAACTACAAATAGGGACCCCACCTTATTTGTATTCATTCCATCCATTCCATTCATTCTTACTTTGAAAGAGTAATATAACTCTAAACATTTACTCTATTTCTCTCTTGTCACTTTGTTTTTTATTTTCTTTGATATTGTTTTCTCTCTTTGGTGGCTATAGTAGCCCATTTGTATTTAGTTTCCACATCCATCAAAGCCTTGTGGGTTTGTTCATGACCTTTGGTTCTCACAAGACTTGTTTTCAAGCTTACTTAGGTGCCCAAAAGACTAAGAAGAGTCTAGAAACATCTAAGGTCGCACATCCTACTAGACCAAAACTCTAAGGTCATGAAAAGTGGTACCAAAACGAGTCGAGGGAACTTGCGATTGATGCAACTTGTACTGTAATCAAGTTTGGTGATTGTTTGTGTTTGAGTTAGTCGTGATGGTGATCGAGCTAGTAATTGAGATGGCATAAAAAGTGATGGTGTTTCCGCCAAGAAGACATAGAAAGCCATAGTGAGAAATAGAAGTGGACAACGACGAGGGATGATCTAGTCGACAGTTTGGTTGATATGAGTCATATTTCCAATTATTGGGTGGAGGATCTATGAAAAATATTAACATCATTAAAGAAGAGGGTCGTTAAACTTGAAGAATTTGAGGACTAGGCCAAGAAGACCCTAAGAGTTTTCGAGTCATGTCTTGATAAAATAGAGTATGTGAGGGACAAGTTTGATGACAAGACTCAACAAGCTCTCAATAAGTTGAAAATGGATTCAAAGGAGAACTTTGAAGCAATAGAACTGTGGCTAGAAGAGCTGGATGTTGCATGTTTCTTTAAATCAAATTTTCAGTCACTTCATTGGTGTGTGAGATCGTCAATTGTTTGTCTCTTAAATACAACAACTAGATGATCAGTAGACAATAACACAACTGCAGAGATCACGAAATATATCATTGCCTTTATCTATCACCAAAAACTAAAGGAGAAAAACTTTTCTAGTTGTTTCACGTTATTAAATTGTGAAAGCTTATGAAACTTGTTTTTATCCTATAAGGTTTTCACAATTTATAAGGTTTCTCATAATAAAAATTTAGGTGAAGCAATCCTTTTGGACCTACAATACTATATGTAAATGAATATAAATTCGGAATAATATGTTCATAATTTAATTGAATATAAATTCATAAATGATATATTTGTATTTAATCAAATATAGATTAAATATGGATTATAACAAACCATGCAAGTTTTTTAAAATGAAGGAAATATATTTAAATTCCTTTCTTTAATCCAATTCTTTCTCTTTTCTCTAAGTCATTTCTTAAAAACCAACCCTAATCATGTCTCAAATCCTCTAAAACCTTAATTCTTTTTCATCATTGATCATCGTTGAACTCTCGCACATCTGTTGTGGACTTCATTGCCCGTCATTCCTTATGGTTGTTTTAATCTCCTAAATACTTGAATCTAATTAAGAAATTAGGGTTTTAGAGATTTAGGAATTATGATTTTATAAATTTTGGAGTAATTAGTGTAAAAATATGAAAATTTTGGGGCCCTTTTAAAAATTTATGAATTTTATTTTAAAATAATTATAAAGAAAAATAAAAATTAGATATGTGTAAAATATTAATTGGTTGACTGTTTTTAACTATTGTTAACCATCAAATGTCAAACACTCACTTTAATAAAAAAAATTCAAATATTTTAAAACTAATAAAAAATATAATTTAAACAGTTACTATTTAATTAAAAATTTATTTTATTTTGTTGAAAGAATACGAACACTAATCATTAAATCTAAACAGGTTTTGTTTAAGTGGGTTTAGTACGACGACGTTTGTGTGTTGGATCGGGTGGGTGGATCCAACCCAACCCACCCCAAGACAACGGTACAGAGTCATTTTGTCTCCTTCCACAGTTGACATTCTTCTTGTCACTCCCCAAGTAATTCAATTTATTTTTAATCAATCAAACCCTAAAAAGATTTAACCCATCCCCATCTAATAATATCCAAAAAGGATTTATATATATATATTAAAAGAAAAACAGATCTTGGAAACTCCCCAATTTATCATCACTGAGTCAGCCATTTCCGTCACTCGCTGACTCACTGGTCACTCTTTAAGCAATAACAATGGACCGAGATTCATCCGACGACGACAATGAAAACGATCGCCAAACCCTGATCCAACAAAACGACACCAAGAAGCTCCCGCATGAAATCCCAACCAGCCCCCGTGCTTCCGGCCCTCCGAGATCTAGCTTCCGCATCGAAGAACTCGAATCCCAGATACGACCGCGTTTCAAGCTCTCCTTCAACAAGCGTTACCTCTTCGCCATTATTCTCCCTCTTCTCTTCATCCCTATCTTCTTCTCCGCCGACATTCGCTCCCTCTTCTCCTCCAATATCTCCTCCCTTCAATTCAATACGGTGTCGGACCGAATCGAGGAATCCCAACTCCAAGCTCTTCACTTGTTAAACCAACAGCAAAGTTCCCTTCTTTCTCTTTGGAATCACACTTTCGTCAACTCCAACAATAATATCACAGCCGTCCAATTTGATGACATTAAAGCCGCATTGCTTAATCAGATCACGTTAAACAAACACATCCAGCAAATCCTCTTATCCCCTCACAGAACCGGGGACGCCGTTGAAAACGGCTCCGTTTTGGTCCCCAACTATTCCGGTTACAGTTTCGATCGTTGCGCAAAAGTTGACCAGAAATTCTCTGAAAGAAGAACAACCGAATGGAAACCCAAGCGCGATAAATTCTTGTTCGCCATTTGCTTGTCGGGTCAAATGAGTAACCATCTGATTTGTGTGGAGAAACACATGTTCTTCGCGGCGGTTCTGGGTCGGACGTTAGTGATTCCCAGCTCGAAATTCGATTATCAGTACGATCGAGTGCTGGATATCGATCACATTAACGATTGTGTTGGACAAAAGGTTGTTATCTCGTTTGAAGACTTCATGGAAATAAAAAAGAATCACGCTCACATTGATAGATTCATTTGCTATTTTTCGAGCCCTCAGCCGTGTTATGTGGATGAAGAGCATTTGAAGAAGCTGAGATCGTTAGGAATTTCGATGGGGAAATTGGAGAATGCTTGGAAGAATGAGGACACTAAGAAGGCGAGTCCAAAAACGGTTAAGGATGTGGAAGATAACTTCGCTTCGGATGATGATGTTATTGCAATTGGGGATGTCTTTTTTGCGGATGTGGAGACAGATTGGGTGACACAACCAGGTGGTCCGATTGCACATAAGTGTAAGACTTTGGTAGAACCAAGTAAGCTTATCTTGTTGACTGCTCAACGGTTTATTCAGACGTTCTTGGGAAGTGATTTTATCGCTCTTCATTTTCGGCGACATGGATTTTTGAAGTTCTGGTATGGTTTCAATTGGGAACTTGTGTAGGAAAGTTAGAATCTTTACTTTTAAGCCATAATGTTATGCTAGAGAACACAAGTCAAAGCTTAAAATGATGACATTAACTTTATTTTGCTTTGATTTAGTGTTGTTTGTTGTTTGATTGAGTATGTCAACCTTATCGGTTTTAGTTAAGTATATGACATAGTTTCAAGAACGGTAGGCTTTGATTTCAAAGTGTTTGGAATTTACTTGCATGAAAGAGTGTGTCCATCGTATTGAGAATTTCATGTTTTTGAGTCTTGAATGTTTTCGGATAATGTGGAATACTGGAATTGCATATAGATTCCCATCCTACCAGAAAGGGCTTGTCTTAACAAGTTGGTTCTGGCCATTGCCATTAATTGTTGGTCTATTGTCATCTTGGGTCAGTTTGTATGGCCTTATGCTTTGAGAGTGGGGTTTGTGTAAAATGCCACTAACATTACTTGCTTATTCCTCAGCAATGTTAAAAATCCGAGTTGCTTCTACCCTATTCCTCAAGCTGCGGGTTGCATCACTAGAATGATTGAAAGGGCCAATACTCCAATTATATACCTTTCAACAGATGCAGCAGAAAGCGAAACTGGTTTGCTACAATCAATGGTTGTGCTGAATGGGAAAACTGTACCACTGGTTAAACGACCTCCTCGTAGTTCAGCTGAAAAGTGGGATGCCTTGTTATACAGGCATGGCATTGAGAATGACCCTCAGGTGAGATTTTTATACTACTTTTATGTTAGGAGGAGATCAATATGAGTTAGTTTTGTTTTGAATATTCCTGTATTCTATTCAAAGGTTAGAATTATCTACATGACCAGGGCTAGTCTTCTCACCATTCAAGTCCTCAATCCTGATAAGTATAGGATTTTCTAGATTTCAAGTCCAACCTGTTGAAAAATAAAGGTTGACATATCCATTTGGCTTGTCAAGTAGTGAGGCTTGGTTTCCTATTTGTGGTGCACCCTGCTTTTTTTAGTCACATTGTGCCTAAAAGACCCTAGTGCTAGGTCCTATGTATTAGGAGTTGAATGATTGGATTCTACACATATCTGTTAGATCCATGGAATGAACAATGTTGTCAAGGTGTGGCACCGTGGCATGCCTATGCCTTAGCACTAAACAAAAAGTGCCTCGGACCTTTCTCGGGTGAGGCTTTTGATTTGGCGCATGGCTGATGCCCTTTGGTATTCTATGTTTGTAGGTAAAACTTGCCCTCTCTTTTGAGTTTATCATCGTGGTTATGTATCTTAAGCTTACTATACATACCTACATATACATATATTGTATATATACACCCAGAGCCATATGATATATGTTGTGTCTTTCAACCCAGCAAGCACTTCCTTATGCCTTGCGCCTAGAGCAATATAAGTGTCCTAGTGGCTAGAGTAGGACACTTGAATTCGAAACATTCTCAGACTTAGCTTGATTGAAGCTCAAACTCTAGCTCAGTTCAAGCTCGAACTCGAGTTCAAATCTGAAACTTAAATACATGAAAGTCTTATATTATATTTTTTAAAAACAATAATCTACAAATGTTAATATTATTAATAATTTAATTTAAAAAAAAATAAATTTAATATATTATTATTTTTAGTTGCTCGCAAACTTTTCGAGTCGGGTATCAAGTAGCTCGCTTCAGCTTGTTAAGAACTCCAGTTGAGTCCATTCTATTCGAGTTTTGATCGAGTTGAATTCGAGTAGCTCGTAATCTGTTTCGTCTCATTTATAACCTTAGTCCAGAGTGTGCCTTTTGCTCTTGACAACACTGGGCTTGGATTAACTTGTTGAGTTTTAATTATTGGAAAAGGTCCTCTTGCATTTCCTTGTTCTCTTTCAAGTTCTACTTGCCGATGATCAAAACCTTTGCTTGGCTTGAAAAGCACAACCATGCATTTGAAGTATTTGATTCACGTTATTATTCCGTACAGTTTGAGAAGTTTTGAATCCATGATCAAGCTCCCCAAATCATTACTATTTTGGTAGAGGATCAATCTAAATTTGCTCTTTAACTTATATGTTTGATAGGTGGAAGCTATGCTGGATAAGACCATCTGTGCTATGGCGAGTGTGTACATTGGATCCCCGGGATCAACATTCACGGAGGACATTTTAAGGCTCCGAAAGGGCTGGGGAACGGCATCATTATGTGACGAGTACTTGTGCCAAGGTGAAGTGCCAAACTTTACAGCAGAAGTTGAGGAGTGAAGAATATGCAGAAATGGGAAGCTGTAAAATTGTGAAGATGCTCCATTGCAGAGAATAGTAGGTGTGGTGTTATTGTATTATATGAGCCAATTTTATTTCGTTGATTTGATTACTAGTTTTGCTGCATTCTTACCACTGTGATGGAGTGCCATCCACTCTGGGGATCAAACCCCTAAACCTTAGTTAATTTGTTGTGTTTGTAAATCATTTGACAAGGAAGGGATCGAACCATTCATTAACTTAACAGCAGCACTATTTTCGTTTTTTATGAACTGAAAAAAACTCATGGTGGAAACAAATATGATAATATTTTCATTTAAAAAATTTAACAATTAAAAAAAAAATTGATTTGCCATATCATATAATTTTGGGTAAACTACACGTTTAGTAGCCTAACTATTACTTTTATTTTGTTTTACCCACTAAACTATTTTTATTTCAAAATCATGCCTAATGTTTATTTTTTGTTTCATTTTAGTCACTTATTGTTAAAAACCGTAAGTGTTGACTTGACTTTTTATTTTTTTTAAACATGATATTATCTTATGGTGATACATCAACATCATAATTAGTTTTTTAATGGTAGATGATCAAAATAAAAACAAAAGTAGACTTTAGGTATAATTTTAAAATAAAAAATAGTTGGGTGATCAAAATGAAACAAAAGAAATAGTTGGTATAAACGTTTAGTTTACCCTATAACTTAATATAGAAACTACCCCTTGTAAAGAGGAGATTCAAAGGGTTTGCTCATTGGACAGCTAAATTTTTATTTGGTGAGATAATCTAGTAATTGGCTTTCTAAAGAAGAAATGTTCATAGAAAAATAACAAATAGGAAACGATGTTAAGTGAGACTGATGGAGAAAAACAGATGATTTGAGAATATTTTTTTTATAATTGGGACATGGGCAAGGTTCATATCCTAATCAAGGGTTTCCAATGTTACTTTATATTGTGCACTTAACATATTATATAAATATATATTTTTCAAAATATTTTTTTGGTATTTGTATCGCATTCATATTATTTTTATTTTCTAAAATATGACTTTCCTTTATTTTTTGTGTTATATTCTAATCCATCACATATTTTGTATTGTGGTTGTAATTCAATTTAGGTATTCAAAAGTTTTCATGTAATTTTTATGTTTGTTCAAAGTATTATTTTTAAAAAGAAATTATTATTCTAAAAATGGAATATTTTGTTGGAAGTTAATTAATAATTTTCATATCACTTTTTATGCAAATGTCACTTCTTTTAATAGAAGGATCTAATTTTAATAAAAAAAACAAAAATATTTAAAATTATAAAATGGTTTACAACTATCATCTTAAGTTAAATACATAATTTGGACATTACCCGATAACATTGACATAAAATTATAGTCATTTTAGAACATAAAAGGATCGTACATGGAAAATGTTAAAAAATCAACAAAAAAGCTCGAACGAAAATAGATACAAAAAAATTTGACTGCATCGACAAACGAATCATAAAAGAGAATTAAGATATTGAAAGACCACCGAAAACCGCAAATCAGAACTGAGTTTCGTGAGAAATTACCCACAAACGCAAAATAATATATTCAAATTCAATTCGATGATCTAGAGCATGGAAGATTAACAGATTACAAATAAGTGTCATCTTGATCAGTCGTGACTAGAGTTTCAAATAGAGGTCGAATAGAGAAATAGTGGTCACTAGAGTTTCAAATAGCAGTCAAATAGAGAAATAGTGGTCGCTAATTGCGCTCGCGACGGCGTTCAAAACCGTCATCGCTGAAAATAACAATGTGAATCGGAATCACACCAATAACGATGGATCGCAACCGTAATTTAATGAGTAGCAGCTAATCACAACAATAGAAGACCACTATTCCGCTATTGTCCCGCTATTTTATTTAAAAGAAAATCCACTTTTTATATATAAAAGAATATCTCCTTTAGAAAAAGTCACAACCGAGAAATCCGCAATGATTGCAATTGCATTAGTTATATCCGCAATTATGATAAACACGACACAACTGAAAATGTAGCTACAACTGTAATTTAAATCTTTACTGATGGCATCGTCAAATCCAACTAAGAGAAAATATAAAATAAAAAGAACTACCAAACAACTTAGAAAGCAGCAAAAAAATTACCACAAAGATAAAGTCGTTTTTATTTTAAAAAGAGAGAGAGACAGAACTGATGGTTAGCGATCAACATCAAAATCAGTGTTGTCACTATCTAAACAAAATTAAAGAATAAAAAGTTGATATGATCTATAGAAAGCGAAACAAACTCACAAAACAAAAAGAGAGAGTGGGCACACTTTTTTTTTATTAAACTACGGTGATTACAAGTGATAATATCTGTTCTAAAGACCCTAAATCATTTGACAATAAACGTTCAATTATCTGAACAATCACTAATGTTTGAACTCGAATCTTCTAAAAAAACAATTATCCCATTAACCATACAACATACACACGTTTTAAATAATAATTGTTTAGTCGGTCAAAATTTTACGTTATTTGGTAATTTTTATTATTATAAGCATTAAATCGAATCATTAGTAAAGGGCTTATTTACAATAGTGCTTATAATAGAACACTGGGACAAATACTTTCACCAAATTAAAATAAGTAAAAACGCACATGACCTTAAAAAAAATAGTGTCGTACTCAAACTACCTTTGCATTTACCATGACTTTTAAATTTAAAAAAAATTAATATATCTTTTGATCAACAGTTTATGTTGTTAATAATTATAATATTGATGTGATACTTCACTTTGCTGACAAAATGATCTATGATTATTGGTGATGGCACCGATAACGTGACAAATGTAATAAATTAATTTTTGACTTTGAAGATCAAATTGATTTTTTTAAGTTTAATGGTTTATTTTTTAAAAGTTTAATGGTTTGTTTGAGTTATTAGGAAAAATATTTTAAATTTAAAATAAAAATTATTCAAAAAAATTAAATATTAAAATTATCAAAAATAAAAGTTAAATTACTGATGTAGTTTATCTTATATATAAACTATCTATAGATGTAATGACACTTGATTATTATATAATAATGCGATATTAGTGACGATAAAAAAGTGATAAAAACAATCAAATATTATACTTACACGTCCTTAGTGGCGATGATTAATGCATGTGTGTATATTATTATTAGCCATTGTTAAACGATCTCGAAAGATATCCTGAGATCACCTATTTATATACTCAATATTATATGAGGTCGAGCAATGATATATTGATATTTGTATATACTATATTGCCTAGATGGCTTGATGTTAATAATTCATGGTTAGGCTCAGTTGTAAATCAAGGAAAACATGAAACTTATTGTTGAGAAGCATGTCATACCTTGTTACACATATGTTACTGTTATTTTATGTTATCATAAACAATATGTTTATGTTTATGATACTCGTAATATGATCATCATATTAGCGTCATATTATTTAACTTGTGGAATTCAGTGTTCGAATGCTTTTCGTGATTTGTGGAGCACCATCGTCATATTATGTTTCTTTATTTATTTTTTAAAAATTATATATTTTTAATATTAATTAATATTTAAAAAGTAATTGGCGGTTCCGCCGGTGCGTGGGTATATATATCCATAGGACTTTTACTATTATTGATCAGTTTGTGAAACCCATGTTTATTTTGAAGTTATTTTATAAATGGTTGAGTCGGAGCTCTGAATTTGTAAATTTTATTTTTAATATTTATAGAATTTGATAAATTTTTAAATATGAAAGATCAAATATGTCACATATATGTAATAGTTTTAGTTTGAACAAGAATGATGTTTTAAAGTGCAGGGATTTGGCGTCATCCACGTTTTGTTTACCTTCCAATTATGCAGAACCGCTGCACTTAGTTATGTAGTTTTAGTGGAATGGATGGTTAATTCAGATTTGATCCTGAAGTCTGGATTTAGACGCGTACTTTCTGCTGGATGCAGTTTTCCTTTTAGTGAAAAACGGATTCTTTTAATGTGAGTATGCGACTAAAATCGGAGGCAATGCACGTTATGGATATGCGAGATATTTTTTTTGTTTCCCTCGGTTCTAAGGTTTCGTCTTGATAAATTCGGATCGATTCTGTCGCAAGCGCTTTTCGGGTGGACCCGAAATTTGGCTTCGACTTGGAATAAAATATTGGAGTCGCCACCGATCATTTATTTTTCGTAAAAAATTTGGTTGATCGGATACCATCTTACCTGATCTGCGTTTTACCAGAAATATGTCGGATTCGGGAGTCGGTTACAGTCAATGAAGGATTAACACCCTTGAACTGCCCTTTCGGTACCATTTAATTTATCGGTTGTCTTAATTGCGAAAATTACAATTTAAATTAAAATTTAGAGATTCGATTCAAATTACTTACCTTTGATTGATTAAAATTATCCTAAAAAATCATAAGTAAAGTAAGAAAATAAAACAAACAAACAAACACAAAGAGTTAGTATTAAGATCGAAATAAAAAAATAAATAAAAGGAATGAAAAAAAATCAAATTAAAAATTAAATTGGAAACAGTTAAAATTTATGGGTCGAATTAATCTTAAGAACGAGCTGCAAGAAAAACAAAAACTTAAGGGATTAAATAGCAAAAATAAAAAAAATAAAGTACTAAAATAACACAAACGAAAAATTAAAGGATTAAAGTAGAAGGATCTAATAAATATATATGAATAAATATGAGCCTCAACAATTAATTTAAAATGAATACAAGGACCCAAAACCTAATTATGCTAACTAAAAATGCAAGAAAACATAAGATAGTTACTAAATAAAAATAAACAAAGATATAAATTCAAAAAATTAAAACAACAGTGACTAAATTAAAAGTTAATAGTGACTAAAATAAAGGAAATGAAAGTTACATGCATAAATCATCACAAAATATAACATATTGGTGATCGAATTGAAAAAAACAAAAATAAAGTGCCAAAAATAAAATAAAATAAAAACATAGAGCTTTGGTGACTAGAATGTAAAAACAAGGTAATATTAGAGGGACCTAAACGTCATTATACTCAAGGATTTGGTGACTGGTTTTTAAAAAATGTGATAATGGAGTGGCTTAAACATAAATAGTCCAAAAGTTTAAGAGACCAACATAAAAGATGGCAAGAAATTAAAGGGCCCTATGTGAGGTTAAACCAAAATTAAAATGAAAACATTTTTTCTTTTCCCCAATTCCAGAACACG